GGGCCCCGTCTGCCGCAACGTGGCGAAATAAGTACTGAGACTACCGAGACTAGACTAGACCACTGAGACTATTAAGACTAACTCTATGCATCTGATCTGCCATCATATGGCGCTGAGAGAGTAAACAAGTCTTCCACAGCTGTTTCATTAAATAGCTGATTCCTGACCCAACCCCTTAAAAGGGGGTGAGAGACAACATGCGCGGCCGCGCCCCCCTGAGAGAGCTCGCTGGTGCCGCCTCTCCGAGAAAGCCGGGGAGCGGCTGCAAACCTGGGAAGGGCCGGGGAAGAACAGCGCAGGGTCCGGTGTCATTCCTCTGCGAGAGGGGGAGCGACACAAATCATTCTTGGATTGGGTAAATTTCTCAGTAGTCAGTAAGAATACAGAAGACCAATCGGTGAGAATAGAGTATTTGAAAGGATTGGCCAGCTTTCCCAGGGAGTCCCTGTCCCCAGAAAGGAACGGCCTTTTCAGGCACAGGTAGAGTGTGTTCTGGTTTTATTTAAAAATGAAATTCTATGAGGGTAAAAAATACACGATAGAAATTAAACAATGTAAATGACTCCTAAAAGAGAACTAGTTGGGAAAGGTAACACAGAATAAGGAAAATATGAATATAAACATGAGATTTAGATGATGCGTCCAAAGCAGTGCATAGAAGAAATTGTAGAGTAACTATTTTTATGTAAGTATTTTAAATGCTTATATTAAAAAGGAACAAAGAGAGGAAATGACGGTTCTCAACCGCAGCAATACTTTGTAAGAAAGAACAACTGTAAATCCATGAAAAAGTCCAGAAATGAAAGATAACAATGACAGTTAAAAACTGGCTCTTTGAAAAGGCTAGAAGGAAGCCAGTGCTGTGACATAGCAAGTAATGCCACCACCTTTGATGCCGCATAGGATTGAAGACTTTACGTTTGAGGATATATGGGCACCAGTTTGAGTCCCAGCTGCTCCACTTCCCATCCAGCTTCCTGCTAATGGGCTGGGAAAGCAGCAGAAGATGGCCCAAGTGCTTGGGCCCCTGCACCCGCATGGGAGACCTGGAGGAAGCTCCTGGCTTCAGCCTGACCCAAGTCTGGCTGTTGTGGCCATTTGGTAGGTAAACCATAATGGAAGATCCCCCTCTCTATCTCTTCCTCTCCCTGTCTAATTCTGACTTTCAAAATATATGAATAAATCTTAAATGGAAAAAAAAAAAAACAATATTAGGGAAATTACAGGAAAGTTTTTTTATAAAGGGAACTTTGCCATTGTATAAGGCAGTGTATTTGAAAACAGTTGAAACAGTTTTCCAGAAGTAGCAAAACATATAGTGAGGAAAGGATAGACCATTTATAAAGTGCATGGTTTGTGAAACATTAGTTATGCAAAGAAATATAAGACTTTTCCTCATTGCACAAGGTCATTCTGGATAGATGGGAAACCTCAGTGAGAAAGTAAGCTTTAAAAAAAATGGCTGGTGCTGTGGCACGGTGGATAAAGCCACCACAGCTCTGTTAACTCTGCTTCTCAAATAAATGAATCTAACAATAAAGATTTATTTGAAAGTAGAGTTACAGAGAGAAAGAGGCAGAGAAAAGTCTTCCATCCACTAGTTCACTCCACAAATGGCTACAATGGTTAGGGCTGGGCCAGACTACAGCCAAGAGCTTTGGTCCACCACATGTGCCCAGGGACCCAAGTACTTGGGCCGTCTTCCACTGCCTTCCCAGGCGTGTTAACAGGGAGCTGGATCAGAAGTGGAGCAGCTGGGACTTGAACCTGCACCCATATGGGATGCTGGTATTGCAGATGGTGGTTTAACCCTCTGTCACAAAGCCAGCCCCAAGAGATGGATTTTCACAATAAATTAACTGCAAGTCCAAAGGACAACTCAGTTTTCCTTTCTTTTTAGTATGTGGTACAAATACTTGCTTACCTTTTTAAAATGAAGTGTTAAGGCAATAATTATATACTGTAAAATGCACAGATCTTAAGTGTATGATTTGAAGGTTTTTTTTTTTTTAAGATTTATTTATTTGAAAGTTGGAGTGACACAGAGAGAAGAGAGGCAGAGGTCTTCTGGTTCACTCCCCAAATGGCCGCAACAGCCAGAGCTTCTCTGATCAGAAGCCAGGGGCCAGGAACTTCTCCGGGTCTCCCATGTGGGTGCAGGGGCCCAAGGACTAAGGCCATCTTTCACTGCTGTCCCAGGCCATGGCAGAGAGCTGGATTGGACGTGGAGCAGCCAGGTCTTGAACCAGCGCCCATATGGGATGCCAGCACTTTAGGCCAGGGCGTTAACCCACTGCGCCACAGCGTCAGCCCCAGTTTGAAGTTTTTAACACATATTCATGTAAACAACACCCTAATCAAGACACAGGTTGCCTCAAGAACCTTTTGTTCTTTATTTAGTTTTCAAATCAAAAGAACTTTTCTGAATTTTGTCACCACCTTATTTTTACCTGTTCTAGAAGTTTGTAAAAATGGATTCATATGTCTGGCTTTACACATTTCCCGTGTTTTTGAGATTCATTCATGACGTGTGTATCAGTTCATTGTTTAAACTACTGAGTAGCATTCTATGAATATACCCCAATTTGCATAAGAAATTGCCATACTGTTTGTACCATTTTGCCCTCCCATCGTTAATGTCTTAGCGAGCTTTTTTTAACGGTGAAGGATATGAGTGGGTGGTATACAGAAAAGAAAGTGAAAATGATAAATTTCTAAGATGCTTAGTCCCACCGTAATTAGGGAATGTGCACTGACCCTGGGGTGACACACGGTACACATGAGTGAGTGAGGCTGTGGGTGTTGAAGGCCCGTGCACGGCTGGGACCGCACAGCCACTGGTCACCCAGTGACCGGAACTGCATGTACACGCGGCATTAGGCTGCTGCATGAGGGCTGCAGGAAGCGAAGCTGCTGCAGTGATCCTGCCTGCTGGAATGATGCTTAGCAGGGTTAGTCGACAGGAGGATGTGTAAGTTTGTTGGAGGATCTGCTGTAGAGGATATTACGTACAGCTGTGGATTGCTCGCGTGGTATCATGTGACAGTTTGTGTCAAATGAAAGCATACAGCACACAGGAGAGTGCGTTGCCTGTATCCTTATCTAGTAAAATAAGAATGGTCGTAGGAATGTCACCTACCACACGGTGGAGGTGCTCAGGGTAAAGAAGAGGGGTGGGCCTGGGGAGAGCGTGGTGTTTGTTTTAATTTGCAATAGTGCATTTCCTAAAAAGTTGAGGTGGGCTGTAGGTGGCATATAAGACAAGTGTGGGAATGCAGGAAGATTCGTCAAAGCTGGGCCACGAGGTAGTCCCTTATCATAATCTGTTATTCTCTTAGAGTGGAAACATTGCATGAAACGATTCATTGTCTTAACACATAGTTCTTTGATTACTATTGAAGGTTTGGATATTTTATTAGGTTTTCAGCTATTAATAAAAATGTCTTTGGGATTTTCTGTCAGTGTATTTTACCTGTGTTTCTCTAGCAATCCATTTTTATATTGCACCTGAATTTACTGCAGATAGTGGCCTTTTGTTTACAGTATTTCTTGGTGTACATAAATTAAAAACTTCAGAGTAATTGTATGCCTTTGCTTATTAGGAAAGGCTTCCCTAACTTGAACAGGTAAGTGTTCCTGTATTCCTGTGTGTCGTCTTAGCTTTATGGTTTTCATTTCTTTTTTTTTTTTTCTTTTTTCTTTATTTATTTGAAAGGCAGACTTACAGAGAGGTAGAGCCAGAGAAAGAGAGAAGTCTTCCATCTGCTGGCTCACTCCCAATTGACCACAACAGCTGGAACTGGGTTGATCTAAAACCAGGAGCCAGGAGCTTCCTCTAGGTCTCCCATGCAGGTGCAGGGGCCCAAAGACTTGGGCCATCTTCCACTGCTTTCCCAGGATAGAGCAGAGAGCTGGATCCAAAGTGGAGCATCCAGGACTCAAACCGGTGCCCAAATGGGATGCACTTCAGGCGGTGGCCTTACCCACTACGCCACAGTGCTGGCACCCCTGTAGTTTCCATTTCTTAATCCATGTGTAATGTGTTCTGAAATATCTTTACCTAATTCTACATATTTATTTATTAAATAACCTTTTGCCTGCTGACTTGAGATATCTTTATATAATAAATTTGTTAATGTACCTAAATATTGGGTTTTGTTGCTTCTTACTCTATTTTCTGGATCATTCTTTCCAAGTCAGTGTCATTGGCTTTCTGTGAATTTTATCCAATTAGTGTTTGCAGATAAGCTCATAGGATGTAAACGTTGAAATAAAATGCGGGCATTCTTTGCCTCACCCATCCCTGTCCCCGTCCCTCTCTGCTGTGAGATGCAGCTGTATTTCTCAGTAGTACGTGCACTGCTATTGTTGCCCGATGAGTTTTGGACATCTGTGACTTCCACTGTGAGAATGTGGCTCTCGTGTGCGCCATTGCTGTCTGTCTGCTTTTCATCCCTCATCTTCAAAATGTGGTTTTGTTTAATTCATTTATAAGCCACGCAAAAGTATTTATGATGTGCACTTCTGGGAACGTTATTTATAGCCAGACATCAGAACAGTTTGTGGTGATGAGTAGCTTTCTGTTTTCCTAAATACTGGAATTGCTTTTTCTTTTTCATTTGTACCTGTGTCTTTGCATATGCTATGCCAGTTCTTTTCACGCTAGCACACGCAGAGCAGTATTCTACAAGCTCAGTCACGTTAGGCAGTCTACAAGATCTGGATTATTGGATTATTATTTCTTTCCCTCCCCCCGCCAGGAGGGGGCAGTATTCCTCCTGGCACATTCCACTATTCTCCCTAGGCTTCCAGACAACCTTGTGAACCGGACTTGTTGACTTTGTGTCCATTGATAGTATGAATGGGATCTTTTTCCATCCTAGTTTTTTAAAGGTTTTGGTTGACACATTGGGACTGTTGAAACTGAAATATAAGCAAATGTGTTCATAGTGATTGCTGTCAACAGCTGTGCTACACACTTTCCTTAACTTTCCTCCAAGTCATGTTTATAACTACTGCACGAGCGTGCACCAGTCCAACCAAGCCCGGGGGGCTGGTGGCCCGCCTTCCAAGTCAAAAAAGGGGCAGACACCTGGAGGAGCTCAGTTTGTTGGCTTGGAATTATACAAACGACTTAAGGAATTTTTGAAGAATTACTTGACAAATCTTCTTAAGGTAAGATGTTTTATGTCTGTGCTGAGCAATTGTGATAGAATGCAAAAAAAAAGTGAATTGATTTTAACCTAAATGTTAGTTTGTTGACTTAGATGTTAGCATGTGTCTGAAGGTGGTTTGATCTTGCCTAGCCTTTTTTTTTTTTTTTTTTTTTTTTTTTTTTTTTTGACAGGCAGAGTGGACAGTGAGAGAGAGAGACAGAGAGAGAAAGGTCTTCCTTTTTGCCGTTGGTTCACCCTCCAATGGCCGCCGCTGCAGCCGGCGCACCGCGCTGATCCTGGCAGGAGCCAGGAGCCAGGTGCTTTTCCTGGTCTCCCATGGGGTGCAGGGCCCAAGCACCTGGGCCATCCTCCACTGCACTCCCTGGCCATAGCAGAGAGCTGGCCTGGAAGAGGGGCAACCGGGACAGAATCCGGCGCCCCAACCGGGACTAGAACCCCGTGTGCCGGCGCCGCAAGGTGGAGGATTAGCCTATTGAGCCACGGCGCCGGCTGTCTTGCCTAGCCTTTTAACTGTCATGAGGACGGAATCTTTGTAACATACTGTTTTATTATTTGTTCACATTAAAAGGTTTTGATAATCTTATACCATAATACCACTTTCCTTAAAGGATTTAATGGGTTTGTATTTGTTAGAAGTTGGTGAGCTTTTTCAATTAAAGCATGTAATTCTATATCCAATTACCTGTGTTTTATTTTGACCCCAATGTGGTGTTCTCTATCAAATGATATATAAATAATGATGACGTTGCTTATACTTTGGTAATCACATTTTTCCAAACTGCTGTGACGTGCCCTTGACTAGTTTGGGTTTCACTCCAAGTATCCATGTCCTTGAGTATGGTGCTTCCTGCTTCGAGCCTGTGCGTGGGCAGTGGTGGAGTCTTCCCCCTCATCTTCTGCCTTTCTCTTCCTCAGTCTTCCTCCCCTGTAGCAAAGGCAGTGTGATGCCTTACACCCAGCCACAGGATGGGCAGTGGCTCCTTCAGCTGGTGCTACCATATCATATAGAGTGAGTGAAGACCTCTGTACTCTCTACCCTGGGAAACTTGCAGGGACTTTTCTGTGTATATATTTTAAATTTTTTTATTTACACAGATAATGTGCAAAAATTTCACCATGCTGAAAAATTGTTTATTTGTTACAAGCTAATTGGAAACTGAAACAGTTTCTGACAGACTCTTAATTGATCACAAATTGTGACAAATTCAGTGATCATTTTCATGTTCCCCTAAGGGTGTTTCTAATGTCTTGCTCTCACGCTTTGTAAAGTGAAAGCTGTAATTCAGTTCTGAAACGAAAACAGCAGATCGTGTAAGCGTGTCGATAGCCATGCCTTCAGTGGTGTCTTTGCATTTTTAAAAAGGTCACATTTCCATTATTGAGAATACCTTAACTTTACATTTTAAAGTTTATTTCATATTATTTAAGTAACAAAGCTGTGGTTGTGTCAAGATCAGATTTTTACCTAGATGGTCACTTGTGTACTGCAGATTTATGGGGCTTCAAGTCTTGTTTTGCCCACTTGAAGTCACTGCAGCCTAGAGGCGTTGAGGGGCTTAGGCCAGGCCCTGACTACAAAGAGCAGGCCCCACCTCTCTTGCCTTCCTCCAGCCCATGTACGTGGTAGTGCTGTACAGTGCTCAGTTTTTAAAGGGTGAGACTTCGTAGATGCCATTAATACCCAATAAAAAATTTAAATTGATTTTCTTCAAAAAGTCTGTGATTTTAAACTATGGAAGTCTCAATAAAAATAATCTTAGTGAATATACATTTTATTTATGAGGTCTCCTTAAAGAAGAAATGTACTATTTTTACAAAAGCACAACAGATTACCACAAAACACAAAATGTTTATAGTTTTTAAGTAAATTTAAAGAAAGAAGAAGATACAATTTAATAGTATTGGCTTCATGGTTAAATTGCTAAATTAAATTGCATGTTAATTTTTTTTTAACAAGAAAAATATCGAGGTGATTTTTCTTGAAATACTTTAAAGTTCAGGATACTTTTTATTGAGTGTGTACCTATTATGAAAGCATTTGTAGTTTAATTTGAAAGAATTTTTTTGCTGTATTCTTGAATTTGTTAATTAGCATGTTTTTTACACAAAATAAGTTAGCCTTATGCATTCATGTGTTTTAAGGCTATCAGTTTGTTTTTGCTTTCATCTTTAATTTGTTAAAATGCAAATTAGTCATCTTAAAGTTTGAGTTAACTTATTTTTAGGATGGAGAAGATTTGATGGATGAGAGTGTACTGAAATTCTACACTCAACAATGGGAAGATTATCGATTTTCAAGCAAAGTGTTGAATGGAATTTGTGCCTACCTCAATAGACATTGGGTTCGCCGTGAATGTGACGAAGGACGAAAAGGAATATATGAAATCTATTCAGTAAGATTTCCTTTAAAAACCTTTCACATGTGTATTTCAGAAAGATACATCACCTTTCAGAAAGGGGATGTAAGCAAATATGAGTCTGTTTCAGAATAGTAGACGGTTTGTCTTTGTTTTATCAACATATTACTCTTAAATATTTGTAGCAAGAAAGTGGAAGGGTGGGTGAATTGGGAGTTCTAAAAACACAACTTGTACACCTCTGCGTTTGCTGTTTAAGGTCTCTTCTACCATCATTTCACAGACCATCATGTTTTGCCTGGGACTCTGTTTCTGCTGAAGTCCTGAGGCCTGGTGGTCCTGGGCCAGTCAGGTCCCTTACCAGAGCTAATGGCCTCAGGAATGACCCTCACCCGCAACAAACTATGAACTGTCCCACATTCCGATATTTCCTCAGTCAACAAAGGTGTTTTCAGAGTGTGATCACCACGCCTGCAACATCAGCGTCACCCGGGCACCTGCGGCCTTGTCCTGCGCTGACTTCATTAGATGCTTGAGACGGGCCGTCCGAGTTTTGACAGCCTTCTGGGTGATTGTCATGGCACACCCAGTTCTGAGAAACACTGTTCCAGGGCCGTTAAGGGAGGACAGAGCGAGAGTAGCAAAAGCGTTCTGTGAAATAAGCACACTGCCTCCTTGAACCATGCTGTTAAAGTCTCAAATTCTGAATAATAAGCTTATCTCTATATTCAAGAATGTTGCCATAGTGGCAATATTTTATTGCTTAACTTTTGAAAATTTGATTAAAAGAAACAGTGCTTCTCAGAATCATGACTTATTTTTATTGTTTATATAGCTCAATGTCTGTGTCAGAGCTGATACTGCTTCATACTGGTACTTTGTTATGTATTACAGAGTTTTGGGTTTGTTTTTGTTTTTTGTTTTTAAGATTTATTTTACTTACTTGAAAAGCATAGTTAACAGAGGGAGAGAGATAGACAGAGCTCTTCCATCTGCTGGTTCATTCCCCAAATGGCCGTAACAGCCGGGACCGGGCCCGGTCGAAGCCAGGAGCCTAGAACTCCATCCTGGTCTCCTACAAGGGTGGCAGGGGCCCAAGTGCTTGGCCCAACTTCCACTGCTTTCCCAGCACAGCCAAAGTGCTGGCCCCTTAAAGATTTTTTTTTTTTAATTTATTTATTTTCATTTTATTTTAAAGGCAGGACAGAGAGAACAAGATCTTCCATCCACTGGTTCACTCCCCAAAGGCCCACAGCAGGCAGGGCTAGACCAAACCAAAGCCAAGATCTGGAAGTCAGTCCAAAGGGACAACAGGGGCCTGAGTACTTTGCCATCACCTGCTGCCTCTCAGAGTATAAGTTAGCAGGACGCTGGGGGAGAAGCAGAGAAGCCAGGGTTGGCCCTGGCACCCTTTGGGATATAGGCATCCCAGGACGCTGGGGGAGAAGCAGAGAAGCTGAGGTTAACTCTGGCACCCTGTGGGATATAGGCGTCCCAGGACACTGGGGGAGAAGCCAGGGTGGACCTTGGCACCCTGTGGGATAAAGGTGTCCGAAGTGGGAACTACTATACCAGACCCCTGTTCCAGCATTACTAAGTTTTTAAACTTTCTGGGGTTAGCTTTTTTGAGGTTTTTTTACTCGTTTTTTTTCTTTATTTCTTTTTAAACATTTTTTCAGTTGGCAGAAGTTGTGTATGTTTATCATGTACAACATGTTGCTTTGAAATTGTATCCATGGTGGAATGACGAATAGGCTTTTCTTATCCACGTACAAATCCTTTCTTAAGGCTCAGTGCTCTCAGTGTAGGACCTGCATGGTTTTGACTGATTTATTCTCGGAAACCTGCTTGCCCTAAAACACCCTGTGTGTCCTACAACACCACCATAGACTTTTTTATATAGAAAACTTTTATTTAATAAATATAAATTTTTTTAAAGATTTATTTATTTTACTTGAAAGAGTTAGAGGAGAGGCAGAAAGAGAGAAGTCATCCATCTGTTGGTTCACTCCCCAATTGGCTTGGCTGCAACGGCCAGAACTGCACTGATCCGAATCCAGGAGCCAGGAGCTTCCTCCGGGTCTCCCACGTGGGTACAGGGGCCCAAGCACTTGGGCCATCTTCTGCTTTCCTAGGCCACAACAGAGAACTAGACAGGAAGTGAAGCAGCCGGGTCTTGAACCTGCACCCATATGGGATGCCAGCACTTCAGGCCAGGGCGTTAACCCACTGCACCACAGCGCTGGCCCTTAATAAATATAAATGTCAAAAGTACAACTTCCGGAGCCGGCGCCGTGGCTCAATAGGCTAATCCTCCACCTTGCGGCGCCGGCAAACCGGGTTCTAGTCCCGGTTGGGGCGCCGGATTCTGTCCCGGTTGCCCCTCTTCCAGGCCAGCTCTCTGCTATGGCCAGGGAGTGCAGTGGAGGATGGCCCAGGTGCTTGGGCCCTGCACCCCATGGGAGACCAGGAAAAGCACCTGGCTCCTGGCTCCTGCCAGGATCAGCGCGGTGCGCCGGCTGCAGCGGCGGCCATTGGAGGGTGAACCAGCGGCAAAGGAAGACCTTTCTCTCTCTGTCTCTCTCTCTCACTGTCCACTCTGCCTGTCAAAAAAAAAAAAAAAAAGTACAACTTCCGGATTATAGCAGTTCTTGCCCCCATAACCACCCTCCCACCCACAAACCATCCCATCTCCCACGCCCTTTCCTATCTCATTCTTCATTAAGATTCATTTTTAAATTATCTTTATATACAGATCGACTTAATATTTACTAAGATTTCAACAGTTTGCACAGATACACAAGTATAAAGTACTATTTGAAGATTAGTTTTACCATTAATGCTCATAGTACAACACATTAAGGACAGAGATCCTACATGGGGAGTAAGTACACCGTGACTCCCATTGTTGATTTAGCAATTGTCACTCTTATTTATGACGTCAGTAATCACCCAAGACTCTTGTCTGGAGCTGCCAAAGCTATGGAAGCCTCTTGAGTTCACAAACTCTGACCTTATTTAGACAAAGCCATAGTCAAAGTGGAAGTTCTCTCTTCCCTTCAGAGAAAGATACCTCCTTTGATGGCCTCTTCTTTCCACCAAGGTCTCCCTCAGATCTTTCATTGAGGTCATTTTTTGCCACAGTGTCTTGGCTTTCCATGTCTGAGATTTCTCTTGAACCACAGACTCTTAAAAATCCCTAGTTTTTAACTTCTCCTGTACTATGTTTAACAATAGTTACAGAAAGTACAGAGGAAGTAGAGGGTACTTTCTAGAGTATGTCTGTCATGGCTCACCTTTCTTTAATTTACCTTCAAAACCCACGCATTCTACCTTGTTATGTTAGGCTCGAGTGTATATTATGTGTTATTAATATTTCCTTTAATATTGCTTTCATGTTATTTCTTACATTTTTAGCAGAATTGCTACTTTGAAGTTCTTTATATAGATTAAATTTGCATATAACCTTTTCATAAATACAATATGAATATAAACCCAGTTGCACCTCTAGTTAAATTTGGGAAAAGTAAGGCTGATTGTGTTTATATTTAAATGAACTTCTCAGCATTTTGTATTCTTGTGTTAAAAAATCTGAATTTCATTTTAACTGGATAATCTCCCAACAAATAATACCCATGTATGAATTCTAATATTCCTGTTTCAGAGAATGTTTTATATTATTAGTTAATTTGCTAACATGACTCCTGTGGGGAGTTTAGAGAAATGGATAAAATAAACCATATCATCTTTGAATGTTTTCATTAAAAAGAAGTCACATATGCATAAACACATGCGAGGAAAAGTAGGAATCTGAATAATTAATCTATAGTAAACCACATCCATTTGAAGTATGTAAAATTTAAAGTTATTATTTATAGTTGTGTGCATCTGTATACCATCACCACAAAAAAGAACTTGAAAGTTGATAGATTTTTATAGTCTATAATTTATTTTGCAGACTATTAGGAAACCATGATGATAAATGGAATTATCTTTATTCTTTTAGGTCAAATATTAAAATTATTTGATCCAGGGAACACATTCATAGATTGAATCCACTGTTGTCTTTTAAGCCAGTATGAATTGTCTCTCTAAATGCAAAATTTCCTTTAAACTTAAAATGTGAGCTGATACCTTTTGAAGTTCTAGCTCGTGCAGTAGTCTGATTTCATCATGGTAATAAATTTTTGCCAGGTTATAATCTGGACACTTTGATGAAATCTTATATTCAGGTTATTTCCTGTGACTTCAGATGTCTTGGGAAAACAGTGAGTATAGGCATTTTACACTTTTTTTTTTTCTTTTTTTCTGTCCAGCTTGCATTGGTGACTTGGAGAGATTGTCTGTTCAGGCCATTGAATAAACAGGTACCCACTCTGAAGAACTTTGTGTGTTCTCTTTTATGATCCTTTGCCAGCTTCCTGCCTCTGTCCTTTAGAACATCTTGAGAGTATCCCTTATCTCACATTGTTAATGGCTCTGAATGTTTAAGGGACATGGGATATTAAATATTAAATACTGTAATCTCTAATATATTTCATGTTTCCTTTCTAAAGGTAACAAATGCTGTCTTAAAACTGATTGAAAAGGAAAGAAATGGTGAAACCATCAATACAAGACTGATTAGTGGAGTTGTACAGTCTTATGGTAAATAATTTCAGTTATTTGGAGTTTTCATGTCAAATTACAGTCACAACAGTGCCATACCAGATTCATTTAAAAAACATTTAATATCATCAGGACTGTTAGCATTTACAGAGGTACTCATAATTCCTATTTGGTGATATTTTACTTGATTTTACCCTCTTAAAAGTTGTTTGATCCTTATGCCTTTGAGAAACTTTAATGAAATAGACATTTGAGTTTTCTGATCTCATAATTAGCTACTGGCTAATGATAGAATGCTATTGAACTGAATGATAAATAGAAATCTATCAGCTTGAAACATTGAGGAACTGATAAGTTAACACAGTATTTAAAACCTTGGATAGCATGGTATTTCTTTGAAAGTTTAAATTAGAGGTTTTTATTGCTTTTGGAAATACGAAGTTTTCCAAATGCACTTCATGATAATTCTAAAGGATACCTGGTATGAGTCAATTATTTTTGTGTGTCCTGGCTTTTTTCTTCTATTGAGCGATGCACTTTATTATTAGTGAATAATAATTACCTTATGCTCTGCCATTCACATTTACCTTTATGCCTAACTTAATCTTTTATCTAAGTATATTCTGTGAAATACAACAAAAAATAGGGTAATTGAAATGCAGCTCATATTTATTTCTAGTGGAATTGGGGCTGAATGAAGATGATGCATTTGCAAAGGGTCCTACGTTAACAGTGTATAAAGAATCCTTTGAATCTCAATTTTTGGCTGACACAGAAAGATTTTATACCAGAGAGAGTACTGAATTCTTGCAACAGAACCCAGTTACCGAATATATGAAAAAGGTAAGCTTAAATATAGTACTTAAAGTAGACAAGCTAAAAATGTGCCATTCAGATGAGTTACTGTTTAAAATAGCATATGCACTTTTCTTCACACAAGTCATTTGTTGGGCATTGTTGTCCTAGCATGTCTTCAGCAGGTGTAAATACTTCTTCTAATTCTCCAGGGAGCTTTTTATAAATTTGTTTGCTGACCATGCCTGAAAGTTCTGGCTGTTTTACAGATATATAAAAGCTGTGTGACTTTTGTTTTGAACTATTTTTCCTAGAACGTAAATATCTTAGGGTTGTCTCGGTCTTACCATGTTAGTGAGAACATTTTCAGATACAAATATTCTCAGATTTGTGAGTAAGTTTTTGCTTTCTTCTAACATGTCTCCCTGAGAATCTATAACAGTTTCAGGTTGAAGGTAGAGGAGTAGTCTCTGACACACAGGATCCTGTTTCTCATGTGGGACAAGACCTAAGATTAAACCAGGGTTCCCAGTCCTTTTCTGTACCGAGTGATATGACCAAGTTCTAACAGATTTGTTCTGTATTCACTTTCTTAGAAATACAGGAATCCTGGACTTGGGCTCTGAGGAAAGACCTGTGTCAGGAGTCAGCAAACGTTTTTTGCCAGAGACTGGATAGTAATGCTTGAGGCATTGTGGGCCATGTGGTCTCTCTTGGTGCTGCAGGCAAAAGCAGACGTAACATCCTGTGAATAAATGGGTGTGGTTGGGTTCCAGTACCACTTCATCTGTATTTAAGAAGAAAAACAAAGGTGGTAGGCGGGATCTGGCCTACGTGGAAGTTTGCTGATCCTTGAACTAGATGAGTTAGATTTCTAGGGAGTCTGGGTCTTGTTGGTCTGGTGGCTGCTTTGATCTTATTCCCTGTGCACCTGGTGAGGGACTGCAGACTCGCCTCCTCTTGTATGATGTGAGAAAATAAGCGATAAAGTCCTGTCCAGTTTGTGGTGTTCTGAATGTGTTGTCTCATAGGAGATAGCAGTTATAATTGGGGCTTAGAATAACAACAAAAACTGATAGCTCAGAATCTAAGAAAAAATGGATTGGTTCAGAAGTATTATACTTGAAATATTAATAGTTCCTTGTGTATGTGTATTTTGGGGTTAAATGGACTTTGTATGCTGACCTGGAACCCAGCCAGTTCATTCAGCATTTCAAACAACTGCCTGACAGATGAGCTTTTGAAACGTAATCTGTTTTGAATCTTAGCATTGCCTGTTATTTCATTTTATAGTTTGACAGTGAATATATCTCTTGCTGAAGTCTCCTGTGTGGTGACTCCTTTAAACCATATGTTTTTAAGGTGGAACCTGTTATCAGAGTACATGTATGCAGTGGGGGAGCAAAACTGTCCTACTTCAGGCTTCTGAGTAGATTATGATGATTATTAAAGTCAGCTCTCTGTACTTAGGACGGTGGTAGCTCTCTGGTGCAAGGAGACCAGCTTTATAGGACAGAGCTTTGTAGGCATCCCAAAGCAGAGAAATCTGCTTTTAAAATCAGCCCTAAAGCTAAAGGCAACTTGAGAAACTAGCGTTTCCATCCAATGGCCTGAATATTTTCAGTCCAGCATGAGCCCCGCCTCAGGTAGCAATATGCTTCCTGCTTCCTGGTTCCCATAAAGGTATTTTTTTCTAGAGAAGTTAAAAGTTCAGTTCATATCTGCTTGGATCGTACCAAACATGCTTTCCATCACATTCTCAGAGTCTGTAATGCAAAGAATCTATAAACATGAAATGAGAATTTAGCCATGTGAGCAGTTCTATTCTGTAACCTTTCGTCTCAAACTGGGACGTGAATCTTAATTTTAAATCCGTACTCTGCCATTTACTTAGGGGACGACCTGAACCTTTCTCTTCCGTAATTTCTTCATTTATAAAAAGGGAATAATAATAGGTAATGAAGATTAAATAAGCTTTAATTTTTAAATAATTTACAATAATTTTAAAGTGTATGTGTGTGTGAGAGAGAGAGAGAGAGACAAAGTGCTAGAATAGTGTGTGGCAAGTAGCAAGCCCGGTGTGTTTGGTGTTACATACACACATCTCACAGAACCCCTAGTATGTGCCTGAGAGGGTACAAAGCCACGTGGCAGAAGAGAACAAATGTTACTCAGTAACTTGGGAAGAAATGTTTATATGAAAACATACATTTTATCAGGAATTACAGTAAAACATATCATGAACAATATTGAGATCAAGTATTGATTTTTTTAAGACATATTCTTGAGCAGCCAGTTGGGGCTAGATTCACAGATTCCCTGGTGGCCTCAGTATGCTCTTCTCTGTAGGCAGGAGAATTTTAGTGGGAATATCTGAGACTCCTTGGCTTGTCTTTCTAAGGGTGGCTTTGATCAGCAAACAAACCTAAGCCATGGCAGTATTTTCATGGTGTCTTACTATCTCACATGGTTGAGATTAATCTGAACTATTAAAACTTTGCATGATTTCAGGTTTGTAACATTTTTTTAAGATTTTTAAATTTTATTTAAAAAATTTTTTCTATATTTGACAAGTAGAGTTACAAACACTGAAAGAGAAAGAAAGATCTTCCTTCCGTTGGTTCACTCCCCAAATGGCCTCAATGGCTGGAGCTACGCCAGTCTGAAGCAAGGAGCCACGTGCTCTTCCAGATGTCCCATGCGGGTGCAGGGGCCCAAGCACTTGGGCCATCCTCCACTGCTTTCCCAGGACATAGCAGAGAGCTGGACTGGAAGAGGAGCAACCAGCACTAGAACCGGCGCCCATATGGGATGCTGGCACAGCAGGCAGAGGATTAACCTAGTGCGCCACGGCGCCGGCCCCAAGATTTTTAAATTTTCAAAATTTATCTGAGAGGCAGAAGGAAGAAGAGCCAGAGCAAGTCTCCATCTCTTGGTTCACTCCCCAAATGCCGACGGTGGCCAGCGCTCGGCTGGGACTGGAGCCAACTCAATCCAGATCTGTGTGGCAGCAAGAACCCATGCCTTCAGCCATCACCACTGCTTCCACTGTGCTGTCCGCATGGGCATACAGCTGGAATCGGAAGCCAGCAGCAGGGATCAAGCCCAGCCACCGTGGTATGGGACTGAGCTGTTTGAACCACTAGACCCAGTGCTTTCCCTTCTAATTTAAAACTTTAAAAATAAAATGCCTTGTTTACCAATTTTTGCTTACCTCTTTTTTTCCTTTTGTTTTTACTGAGACCCAGATAAAATTCAAAAGATGCAGTCTTTGTGTAATCTTGCTCAGTTATCTGGATTTTATCTTGATGTTCTATTATAATTCTCTGCCAGGTACAGTGATGACCAGAAGTTTATCTGGGGCAGGTGGCATGACATACTGGCCAAGCCACTGCTTGGGACACCCACATCTCGTATCAGAATGCCTGGGTCTGACCCCTAGCTTTGCTTCTGATCCAGCTTCCTGCTGGTACACACTTTGAGAGGCAGCATGTGACGGCTCAGTTACTTGAGTCCCTGACACCCATATGGGAGACGCAGGTGGGATTCTGGACCCTTGGGTTTAGACTGGCCCAGCCTCAAGAGTTGCAGGTATTCGGGGAGTGAACCAGCAGATAGGAGATGGAGGACTGTCACTGTCACTCTTCTTTCAAATAAATACATATAGATGAGTTAAATTATGCTTAGAGGGAGTTTACATGACTTGGAAGCAACCAAGAATGAAAATGGCTGTCCTTCCTGCGACTTAATGACACTCAGTGCCTAGGACTTTGGTTTCTTTACCAGTACATAAAACATGCTGCTCTCTGCACGGGAGTGTCTCTGTGGTCACGGAGATGCCTGTCTTTTCCAGAAGTCTTAATTGCTGGTGCTTGTCTGCATGTGGCCATTTCAGGGAGTATATTCGTGTGGCTCTTGACATAGGTTAGCTTCCCATACAAAGTAGAACTGCTGAAAGTGGGTCCACACCCAGGGGAGGGTCCCTGGGGTTCTCCGTGTCAGAGGGAGGGATAGTACCCCCAAAAGGTGAATTGGCACTTACCTGAAGGAAAAAATTGATAGACAATTGGACTCCTATTGATGATAATAACATCGTTAGGGTATTTAAAGAGGAATTTTAAATGAAAATATATTTTGCAGAGAAAAAACACATCGGTGATTGTTTAAATATGGTTGGTATTTACCCTCAAACCAAAGAACCTCTTACTTTTTTTCTTAATCTTACTTCATGAGCGCATACTTGTGATTGAATCTGCCATTATTCGCAGAACAGTTGTTAAAAATGAGTCAGAACCACTCCCTGAAATGTCCTGCTCCACAGGCAGAGGCGCGCCTGCTCGAGGAGCAGCGGAGAGTCCAGGTCTACCTTCACGAAAGCACCCAGGACGAGCTGGCGCGCAAGTGTGAGCAGGTCCTCATCGAGAAGCACTTGGAAATCTTCCACACGGAGTTTCAGAATTTGCTGGATGCTGACAAAAATGAAGGTGAGTCGTGAAGCCTCACGAGTAGGTATTTGTTATCATCTGCGGTTTGGAAATTCTATCCTGTGAAGTAACGTTATTTCTAAGGCCATGTTTCTCAGGTCAGCTGCACGTGCGCGTATTTGCGTGTACCCAGTAGGTCTCTGACTTGGCCAGGGTGCTTCCGGGCGACTCGGGGAAGCGCGTGCTCTGGGGTTAGCGTGAATTACGACCTGTCCCATACCCCTGGTTTTTACCCTGAGTAGCTTTCCTGTGAAAATTCTGAGATGATTTCATGTTTTCCTTCACAGCATGTTTTACTAGGACGTGTTAGAAGCTCAGTAAAAGGTAGATGTTCAAGATTTGGGAATCTCTTTTGTCTTCGGTCCTTGTAAATTGAACATATACCATACACAGGTTTAATGAAGAATTTGGAGGACTTTTTAGTGACTTCTTTATGTAGTTGAGAGGTTTATCTGTAGTTTCCTTGAATTTATTCTTTTTTTTAAACAACTATTTGAAAGCTTACTATGTGTCAAAATAAATAACAACTTGATCTTGGGAATTTGGGGAGGCATTAGATATGATTTCAGATTTAAAAATTTCTCTAATGTTAATGGTGTTTTACACTGAAGAAAAATAATCTTCACAACAACATGATCTCATTTTAGCCAAGTATACATAAACCAAATAGAAAACACTAGGTTATGATTGTTTTGGTTACTAAGATCTAAATGCATGGTGATTTCGTGTCAGGGTATCTCTCGTCATAATGGAAATGCGTAGTGAATGGAGTGGGTATACAGTTTGTTTCAGTGGCCACCTTCCTCTTTCAGATCTGGGGCGCATGTATAACCTTGTCTCCAGGATCCAGGATGGCCTAGGAGAACTGAAAAAACTGCTGGAGACACACATCCACAATCAGGGTCTTGCAGCAATTGAGAAGTGTGGAGAAGCTGCTTTGAACGTGAGTAATACGCAGCTGTGGACCTAACTTCACAGTGGACTGCAGCCACATATTCTGCACCTTTCTGTGCCAAGGCAGAGAGTAAGATTGTCCCCAGAGGTCGGCAGAGGGCCCTAGTTTCACCTTTCTGAAGTGGAGCATTCACGGGCACCTTGGGTAGCACGTGCTGCCGTAGGTTTTCTTGTACTGTTTATTCATTGAGGAGGTCACTGGTTTTTTTTTTTCCTTAAAAATTTTCTCATTACTATTGTGTTCTTATCCTAAAACAGAATTTTATTGTTTCCATAGAATAGTTTTTATATTGTACTCACAAAATGTTTTTAATTAAGAAAAATTATTTTTCAAAGATTTATTTATTTGAGAGGTAGAGTTACAGACAGTAGGAGAGACAGTGGGAGAGGTCTTCCATCCACTGGTTCACTCCCTAATGGCCATAACAGCTGGAGCTGAGCCAATCTGAAGCCAGGAGCTTCCGCCAGGTTTCCCCCACAGGTGCAAGGTCCAAGCACTTGGGCCGTCTTCTACTGCTTTCCCAGGCCATAGCAGAGAGCTGGATCAGAGGAGGAGCAGCCGGGACCTGAACCAGTGCCCATATGGGATGCCAGCACTACAGGGGGTAGCTGTCCTGCTATGCCACAATGCTAGCCCCGAAAGATTATTTTTAGAGCGAATACTATTCCTGGATTTCTGCAAAAAGAATATTTTCCCAAATGTTTCTTTGCTCATGGCTGTGAAGTTTCAGACTGCCGAGTTTGTACTGCACAACCTTTCCAGCTCTGGCTTCCTACCTGTTGCCTCCATTCCCAGTGATAGGATAACCCATGAACTTGGGGAAGCTCGAAGAAGAACAGATGTACCCATTGTGTGGCGGGCACACAGTGGGTGCTTAAATACTTGTTGTAAAAAAGAATAATAGAATAAGTAGGTCTGCCAAAAAATAATTAAAGTAGGTAATAATTGTGATCATATGTGGTAGGTGTAAAAGATATAACACAAATATGGTGGTTTTCTAAAGCCCACTGTTTCAAAAAAAGCTTGTTTTGAATTAGTGAAAGTTAAATTATTCCACATAGTTATAAACAGGATTTAAATACTTTGAGAACTCAATTTTTAAAGTTAAAAACTTTTGCCTGATTGAGTTGAACCATTGTATCTGAGAAGTACTTATAATCAGCATATTAAATGCCATAGAAGAAACTACTTAATGATTTTTTAAAAAAGATTTTTTTATTTATTTGAAAGGCAGAGTTACAGAGAGGCAGAGGCAGTCTTCCATCCGCTGGTTCATTCCCCAAATGGCCACTAGGGCCAGAGCTGGGCCAATCTGAAGCCAGGAGCTTCCTCTGGGTTTTCCACGCGGGTGCAGGGGTCCAAGGACTTGGGCCATCCTCTGCCGCTTTCCCAGTAGAGAGCTGGAACCGAAGTGGAGCAGCCAGGACTCAAACCAGTGCTCACACAGGATGCCAGCACTGCAGACGGTGGCGTTACCTGCTGTGCCACAGCACCGGCCCTTAAATGATTTTTTAAGGGCAAAAAAGTTCTTACATGCTAATCCAGTGTCTTGGTCTAAACTGAAATACTTTATGTTGCACCCAAATTGTCCTTTATTAAATAAGATCCTTTGAGAGGTCTTCCCCCAGCGTTTCTTATTCACCTAGGCCGATAATTATCTGCTTAAAAACTAGCTTTACTGTTAAATATCTGGGCTAGATTGAAATTATTAGACTGCAGATTCATAATGTGATTGAAATAGTATCTTTTTGTTACATGCTTCAAAACCTGTTTATGAATTTTTTCTTAAGATTTTTGTTCTCATAGTTAAAACTGATTTAAAAACTAAAGGCTGTTCCTGAATAAGTGGCTCAGAGGGGGATTTCCCTCGTGGTGTCTCCCTGTCTGAACCTAAATAAAAACTGGCAGTCCTCCTTGATGAAGCGTAACTGGAGAGAGAGCCCTCCAAACAGGTACTATTTTTAGCTGTGCTGTTTCTTGTACCCTGCCCAGACACCCTTGCCAGCTGCTGCCCTGGGCATGCAGGTGTCGGCTCCTCATGGAGAACAGGGGCTTCCGGGCTGTGTGATGTTGACGTAGCGTACTGCCCCCATCCTTAAGGCATCCAGCATGTTTGGAGTTCTCCCCAGCCTAGATTGGGGTTGAGAGTGCTGACACCCTACTGCTGTGCCAGAAATGAATGACCATGTTGCTATCACTGGGGAAACTGGTACACAAAGACATGCAAGGATGGGGTGTAAAACTGGTTTATTATAGCCAAGCAAAGAGGATCAGTAATTATTTAATAGACAAGTTACCCCGTGTTTGACTTTGGACTGAAAAAACAGTGGGCATGATGGTAAAGAGCACATTTTACATGGCATTAACTCCATTGAGGGGCCCACATTGTGGCACAGTGGGTTAAGCCACTGCTGGATGCTCTGCTTCTGATCCAGCTCCTTGCTAATGTGCCTGGGAAAGCAGCAGAAGATGGCCCAAATGCGGGGCCCCTGTGCCCACGTGGGAGACCCGGATGAAGCTCCTGGCTTCTGCTTGGCCCATCTGGGGAGTAGAACAGTGGTTAGGAAGATATCTTTCTCTGTGCCTCCCTCTCTCCAGCTCTGCCTTTCAAATAAATAAAACCAAAACAAACAAAATTATTGGTAGTCAGAAACTTAAAATCTTGTGTGCTTGCAGGGGGCGGGGCAGAACACAAATGTGTTTAGTAGTTGGCAGTGTCGTGTTATAGAAAGCACTGTGCACTAACATAGGAAGAGAGGTGCCATCCCCTTGGGGAGCACCCTAAAAGTAGACCGTTCCTTCCAGCTGTGTGTCTGGCGCCACCCTCGGTTCCTAGTTTTTCTTTGTTTTTTAAGTCCACTGAGGCAGCTAGCAGACTGGTACTAGTTGGTGTTACAGCTCAAAGGGCCAACAAATGTTGCAGATAAAATTGAAGTCATTGTTTTCACTTATTCAGCAAGCATTTAGGGAATTCCTTTGAATAGTTGAAACTGAAATGCTAACCTTTGTCTTCTCATCAGATCCTGATGAGCTCATGTGCCTAGCGTAGTGACTACATTGTAGATCCTTTTATTTATTTATTTTTTGACAGGCAGAGTTAGAGACAGAGAGAAGGGTCTTCCTCTTTCCATTGGTTTACCCCCCAAATGGCCGCTATGGTCCGCACGCTGTGCCAATCCAAAGCCAGGAGCCAGGTGCTTCCTCCTGGTCTCCCATGCAGGTGCAGGGCCCAAGCACTCAGGCCATCCTCTACTATCTTCCCGGGTCACAGCAGAGAGCTGGACTGGAAGAGGAGCAACTGAGACAGAATCTGGCGCCCTGACCGGGACTAGAACCCGGGGTGCTGGCGCCGCAGGCAGAGGATTAGCCAAGTGAGCCACAGCCCCGACTGATCCATTTTTTTAAAAAAAGAAATTAACTTATTTGAAAGAGTGACTGAAAGGGAGGGAGGAAGAGAGAGTTTCTGTTCACTGGTTCATTCCCCAAATGGCTGCAGCAGCCGGAATTAGCTCAGACTAGCCAGAAGCCGAAACTTGATGTGAGTCTACCGGGTGGATGGCAGGGACCCCAGCATGTGAGCTGTCATCTGCTCCCAGGTGCATTTGCAGGAAGCTGGGTTGGCTTGCATCCTCTGTTTCACTGCCCAGAATGGCTACAGCAGCCAGGGCTAGGCCAGGATCTTCTTCCAGGCCTCCCATGTGGGCTCAGGCGCCCAAGTCCTTGGGCCACTTTTCATTGCTTTTCCAGGGAGCTGGCTCCGAAGTGGAGCATCTGGGACTTGAACTGGCGCTCATATGGGATACCAGTGTCCCAGGCAGTGGCTTAACCAGCTACACCCAACACTGTCCACAGCATTTTAATCTTTGTAAAACATCATTTAATGCTTTAATACTTTTGCTCTGCAGTCTTTTTTTTTTTTTTTTTTTTTTTTTTTTGACAGGCAGAGTGGACAGTGAGAGAGAGAGAGACAGAGAGAAAGGTCTTCCTTTTGCCGTTGGTTCACCCTCCAATGGCCGCCGCGGCCGGCGCACCGCGCTGATCCGATGGCAGGAGCCAGGTGCTTTTCCTGGTCTGCCATGGGGTGCAGGGCCCAAGCACCTGGGCCATCCTCCACTGCACTCCCTGGCCACAGCAGAGAGCTGGCCTGGAAGAGGGGCAACTGGGACAGAATCCGGCGCCCCAACCGGGACTAGAACCCGGTGTGCCGGCGCCGCTAGGCGGAGGATTAGCCTAGTGAGCCGCGGCGCCGGCCAATGCTCTGCAGTCTTGATCTTTTGTTTTAAACAGGAAAAATAAAACTGTTCCTTCCATGATACATGAAATCCCTGTATCTAAATTGAAATCCTCTCCGACCCACCCCCGTTTTCCTGAACCTTGTCTTCCAGTGAACTGTTCTGTCAGCTTGTGTCTTCCCCCAGATTCTGTGCACTCGCTGGTTAGACTCCCGGGAATGTCTCTTGATGACAGTCATCTCTGCTCTCTGCTGGCTTAGTCCTGCTGGCTAGGCCAGCTCCAGTCCTCGCTTCGAAGAACTCTGTTTCACTACTCCATTCTAAGCCCCTAGCAGGGGTGGGGAAGGCCCAGCCTGCAGGCTAGCCCTGCCCGGGCAACCACAGGTGGAACTTGAAATTCAATAAATTTACAGCAGGCTAATTTTAAGCTGATAATTTTGTGTGGCCCGAAGTGATGTTACAAATATCCAGATGACCTTGGCAAAGAAGAGATTCCCCTCCCCTTCCCTGTGGCATTTATACACTTCTCTCATTATCACTTGGTTTGCTTATAACTTCCGTGTTTCCTGTCTGTCTGCCATATATTGCAGATGTCTCGAGTGAAGCTCATACCCTCATTATAGTTGTATCCTCTCTGTAATCTTAGCACCTAGCACTTAGCTCATCAAGTATTCATTGATGATGATGGTGAAGAAGAGCTGTCTTCTCCACGGCCACCTCTCCCTTCCTGGTTGTGTGTGTTGTCTCAGCTGGAGC